GGGGACCGGGTGGCCGAGGAGGAGGCCGCGGCGGAGGAGGAAGGCGTGCGCGCGGAGCACGGCGCCGCGGGAGCGGAGGCCGCGGCGGAGGAAGGCGTGGAGGTCGTCGGCGGCGGCGGGGGAGGCCGAGGTGGAGGTGGCCGCCATTACGGGGGGAGACGGGGACGACCTCGGGGCGGCGGCGCCATGCGGGGTCGGACGGGCCAGACTCGGCGCCTGCTTTGGTTTAGGCCTGCTGGGCTCGGGCTGCCGGCGCTGACCAGCGGGGCCCACTTGCAGGCCGGGGGGGTTTTGGATCTGCCACTTCAGTTGAGATCTGAAATGGATCCTCAAAAAAAAAAAGTTGAGATCTGAAATGCGTAGATTAGTTCACCATCTAAAAAAAATAGTGTTGATTATTAATTTGGATTCCACTACCAGGGAAGTCAAAATGATTAAACGCAGAGTAAATCCGGGTTCTTTGATATCTCTTCATACCGAGACATTGCATTCGGGTCAAATCACCCTTCTAGCGAATATACTAGTTAAATAATAGTCCTAGAAACATCCGTTCACGCGGTGCAACTTTCCTCCCACTGATCCACCCGTCATTTTGGGTTTTATTCCAAAGTTTGCGATGCTTTTTATCTTTTGAACCGAAGATATAATTTACGATCCATTTGGATGTGTGCCATTGGTCCACTGCGCATGAGAAAAATCGGTCAGGCTTTTGAAGTTGCCTGCGAGACATTGTCACTGTGGAGCCCCGCAATATGATGCTCTGCAAAAAAATCCTGTGAGATGTTGTCCTAGTTACTGATTGGCCGTACGCAATGTGTACAGGGTATTTTAACAAAGATTGAAATGCGAATTTTGAAACTATAATGAGATTTCTATGAAACCAATGTGGCATGCTTAACTTATTTCATGCCATAGGTTGAGAGAATGTTTCTGTTTTTGCTTTTTGTGATACTATATATATTTTGAAAGAGCATCATCATGTTCCATACTTGACGTTGAAACCTAAATGAAATTTTAAAATTTCATGGAACCAAGATTAAGTATATGACTGATAATTAGATCAAAATCTAATTGTAGCCTCTATTAGACCCAAATAAACATTAATTTAATTCAATGTTCAGGTTGGTAATCTTGGTCCGCTAGCGAGTAGGGGGTTGGTAGGTGAATCCGCCGGTTAATTGGCTAGTCGGTGACCCTCCGAGTAAGGATTAATCTGTCAATTAACCGATTTATCCGCCGATAGTGTTAATATTTATTTAAAAATCTACAGAAACATAACTACAACTGTCATTGAGTTGCAAGAAATGTAGTTACGACCCAACAATTACAGTTCCTGCACATAGGCTCTTTGTTTAGCACATATGGGCGAGTAGTAAAGGATCTGCCTTTAGGTGAGATCAAATTTGCTGAAATTTGGCAATGCACATCTATGTTAGGCTTCGCCGCTTCAAGCTCCAGATGCTCCAGGCACCCTTTGGAGTAGGTTTTGGGCACATCACAAGGTTTGCACTTAAATGCCAATCCCCGCTGGCCCCAAAAGCTAGCCCGGAGGGGCCGTATCCCGGAAGTTCCGGATCCCCTATTCTAGTGAAGGACAACCAAGACTTAGACACTTCACCACCAGATATTTAGAAGAAATGTGGGTGCATATATATCTCAAACATGTATAGTTGATTCCCGTCGTACTTTCAAGGTGCGCCCCCTCTTAATAGTGTAGCTGCCCTAAGACTGAAATAAAGTGTAAAAAGCATCTTGAACCACTTTTTTCGTAGGGGGGGGTCCAACTATCAATGGCTTCTTTTCTTGATGGGGTGGCACAATTTATGAACTTAAGCATATGATTAGAACGATAATTATGTCGCTATTAACACCAAAAACACAATTAAATGTATAAGTGCCCTTTCAATGCCCTCAAGGTTTATCAATGGCCTTAAGGTTTATCGAAACAGTAAGAGTAATTAAAAAATGGTCAATGATCAGCACCTGGCACACACAATTAAAGTACTTGTCTTGGTCCCCCAATGAAACCGGTGAGATTGTCAATTTCACTAGCCTTGCTTGCTACAAGGATTAATGCAATTTTGTGTTTGTGATTATTGCAACAAAGAAATAAAAGTTCAAATTGAAAATGGAAATAAAAGTGTGTTGATCGAAGTTGAAAGCAGTTGAGATGTATGGACCGGGATCCATAGTTTCAGTAGTGGCATCTCTCCATAAAACATGGCATGATGAAAACATTACAATTGCGTATCGATTAAATTATTATTTTTTATAACTATGATCATACATGGCATAATTTCATATAGGCATCACGTCCATACATCTATAGACTGTTAATCCAACTGCATTTATGGCTAACACTCCATCCTAAGACCTCTATCCGGCATGCATCTCAATGGTATTAAGTAAAACAGAGTATTTTCATTAAGCATGATGACATGATGTTTATAATATATTATCTTCACCCAACGTTTAAGGGACAAGTACGCAACTATATTTTTACTCTTAGTTGAAACAACACAATACAAGCATTTTCATTGAACTCAACTAACATACACAACTCTCTCTTAAAGACCATTCATGTAAACATGGCTAGTGCAACATTAATAGATCAGAGAGTATATATGTATATAAATTATGCAACAAAGAACTCGTGTGAATCCAAGAATAAAACATGTACAAATCTGACCATAAAGTGAAAATTCGTCACATTGCTACAAACACATCAAAAAAATTACATCGGATGAAGCCTAAGCATGTAGGGTAGCTCATGTGATTATTGTATTGAAGAAAATGTAGACATTGCCACCTAGCTGCACCTATGGAACCATATATGTGGTAGCTCCAAAGGATGAAGCCTAAGCATGTAGGGTAGCTCCAAAGGAGCACTATTACACATGGACATGATTGCAGCAAGGTTGATGTAGATGGTCGTCATGAAGGATCTCCCCTCTTAAAGAGTATCGAGGAAAATCATCCAGACTGGATCACGTGTACAAAGAGGTGCGGCGGTGGAAAAAATATTCTTGATCATTATTTTAAGGGTTTTGGGGAGTATATAAAGGCGGCAAAGAAAGAGGAAGTGGACGCCCCATGTGGGACCCACTCATGCACCATGCGCTCTTGCGTTCCAGCCTTAGGTCGTTTGGTGGGGCCACATAGGGGCCATAGGGGAGGCTCTGTGCTGGCACATGTTCCCTTGGCTCCTTCTCATCTCAAAACTTCTAGAAATATATTTTCTGATTTTATTGGTCCCTGGAAATTGGTTTTCGTGAAAAACCAAAAAAAAACATTGGCACTGAATTGGAAAACACCAACATGGTTCTTCTGAGAGAATCTTATGGTTTCAGACCATCCAAATACTCTAGGCTGCTAAAATGATAACCTCCATGAACAAAGGAACTACTAATTTTAATTTGGTGACCGCAGCTTCAAAGGTCAAAGAATTTATAGTTTTTTAGAGCATAAAAATTATAGCACCTAGCAGCAGATTGCAAGGTTCCCTTCACTAGATAGTCGATGTTGCACAATCATAGGAACGTGGTGGAAGTTTTTCATGTGCAACAAATTCTTTGTGTTTAGTCTATCACGAAGTAATCATGAGAGAATCACTTTGTGCTTCAATTGACATGGGATGTTCCAAACCCAAAAGAAGTGAAGTGGGGTAGATTGATGTCCAATAAGGACCTTATATGCTTTTCCGCTGAAGAAAATGAGGTGATCCCACAAGTAGCTCCAACTATCATCTACATCAGCAATGTCAACTTGAATGCAAATTTCATCATGGCTTAAAAGTCATGGAAGTCTCTATTGCGACAAGGGAAGATGAAATAGGTCCTCTAAATATTCTAGAGTCAACACTTGTTAATTGTGAGATGTGGCGTCAATTATGAGTTTTAGAAGCCTGTTGTGCATGCATCCACTTTCCATAAATCATACCAGAAGTAAACTTACTTCCCATTTTTCAATGCGACATCTAGTTATTTTTACCTTAAAAGATCCCTCGAAGCTATTGCCAGATATAGAACCATCACTATAGTAGGTGCTCTAGATTAGCTTAACCCAAGGGATGCCAGCTCCATCGATGAATTTGTGTAAATTCTTTAGTGTGATATGCACTAGTAGAAAAAGGGTCAAATGTGAGACACATTAGTCCCGGTTTGTAACAGAACCGGCACTAATGTGTCCATTAATGCCGGTTCCAACGGCTAGGCGGGAGGAGCTCTTTAGTACTGGTTCGTGGCGAACCTTTAGCACCGGTTCGTGCCACGAACCGGTACTAAAGAAAGTGGTGGCAGGATGTTGTCAGAGTGGGGCCCTTCCAGCACCTTTAGTACCGGTTCATGACACGAACCGGTACTAAAGGTCGTCCTATATAAACCCTTCGTCCACCCGCACTCTGTTCTTCCCCCTTTCCCCTCTCCCTCTCCTCTGTTCTTCCCTTCTTCCTCTCGAGTTCATCACAAAATTTGCCCCAAATTTGTCAAGATTTGCAGGCCCTCATCCATTCAAATGATCACCAAGGTTAGCAACTTTGTCCTTTCATCTCTCATTGCTAGATTAGCTCTTGCA